GTTAGAATTGTGTCGATGTCCCAATATTTCTGGACCTGACTGTAGGTTCAAAGACGACATCTCATTAACAATTTCTTAAAGTTTACTCCATTATGTTTATACCAGAGATAAAGAACTTTTTATGTCTATCTCAGTTCTTGGAAAGATTTCCAAAGCTACATTCCAACGTTGGAGGGACCGAAGTTAAACTGGACGGAGCCCCTCAACCCAAAATACACTTCCAAAACAGGCAAAGGACATCTTTCGCCTGAATGCCTTCTTAGAAACAAACACAAGCGCTAGTTGAAAAAGCTGCTTTCAGTAGATTCAGGGCAACTTATTTCCAGTAAGTATTATCAAACTGCACCCTCCCTAAAGAGAATTAAACAATAAAATCATACACACACAAAAATGTCACAAAATTGGGTCACTGCAACATCCCTTTTTTCTAGCTGATGCAAACACCCCTGTAGAAATATTCTTTTCTCCTTTTGAATGTTTGAATACATTGCTATTTGCACAGTGAAATCCTAAACATGACTGTGAAGATGAGAGTCCAATTGAGCTTAGTGAGGCTTATTTTGAGAAATTAATGCAGTAGGATTGCAGCCCTCTTATGTAAAATTAAACAACACAAGTAAAATCAAAGAGCACTAATGGGATTTTCAACTTCGGGGAAGCTTCTGAAAAACATACAGCAAATGTTCCTTTTTCTCTATCTCTCCCCTTCAAACAACTGCCTTATAATATCTAAACAAAATATAATCAGGAAAACACATATATAACTTGTTCCTCATTTGGCCTGCCTCAATGCTGCCAAAAATAGCTAGGTTCACATTCAAATCTCTCTATTCTACACATAGTCCTTGTTCGAGTATAACGAATTTTGGATGCAAAAGAAACCACCCAGCACTAAAATGTAGACAGGAGGTAACTAGCTAAGGTTAATGTAGCATTTTTACTACTATCAAACCACCTTTGCTCTTAACTGGCTGCAAAAAGATCATGCTTCCCCTTTGATCAATGGGCATCAAATTAACAAGCCCAGAAGCAGAGCCCTAGCTGCAAAAGAAGAAAACAAAGGGAATCTGGCATTATAGCTGGAAAAAAAATGTAGTGGTTTCAGGACATTTATGACAACTAGCATCTGTCATAATTTACAGGATTTCATTGCCACAAGATGTAGTCTAAGCACTAGATTAATGCATATTAAAGGTTGAGATAAATTTATGATAGATTAAGTCACAATGGATTGTTATCCATCATTATGGTATTAATGCTACTACTTCAGGGAGTTTATAAAAATACACTGTGTTTGGAGAGGCAGCTGGTGCACCTTTTATTACTGGAAGAGGAGACAAACAGCTTTTATCGTTGTCAACTGGGCGGTGCAAAGCCCTTGAAAGGGGCACTGCATAAAGTGTATTAGTGTGAACAATGCCCCCCTCCTTGAAAGTTAAACAGCTGCCTGAACCCTCTGGAAGACCCAGTGCAAGTACTTCAAAGGCCTGTGGGTGCATGGACAGCTGCTTCACTGGTGGTCCCTGGCACATGTTCATGCAGCTGGGACAGCCATCAAAGCTGTTACAAGCCTTCCAGTGGATATCGTGAATGTAACGCTTCAAGAAAAGGGGAACTGCGCAAGTCAATGTGCTTTATGAAGCACCCTTTCTGAATGGCTGGCATAATCCCATTTGCCATGTCTCGTTAGAGTTGGGATTGGTTATTTTCAGCAATATAGCAACTCAGCCACATGTTTTATATAGCCTGGATAATTGTTATATTGGTTTCGCCCACTGTCATTCATGCTCCCACCTTTCTGTTATGTTCTCCTTGATATAACTTTATTCAGTCAGTCTCCCTTGGTGACTTCACATACCTCCCACTCAATCAAAGCTGTGGCTAAAACCTAACACTTCTTATTTTCACAAGTGTTTTATTAACCTGTTCTATTTTTGCTGACATCTTTGCAGAGATACATCAGCACTCACAGCAGCAAAGATAAGTGCAAATGAACATGCTTTGCAAGATTAAATCAGGGCTCCTTTCACATACTATATTTGGCAATTTTGCCTAGTTTAGAAAATAACTTGTGCTATACATTGCCTGTAAATGAAAAATTGTTCCTGCAACATGCACACTTTTGATTTGTTCATCATGTTTGCTCCCAGTGTCACTAATTTCCTGCAGCAAGGTGACTTTTAATGTGTGAGGTACCAAAGAATGTTGTATTCCTTTCCTACATCATAAGTAAAAAGGAAGCCATATAAGTCTGATTCCTTTTCCATCTTTGAAGCTCTTTAGTACTGCATTTATGCTAACAGAGTAGAAGATCTCCCTTCCAAATAATTACAAGTGAGTTAGGAGGAAAGGAATCCTCTAATATTTACTAGGAATACAGTCATATTGAAATTAACTTCTGGAGGCGCTGAATTGGGTAAGAAGTGCAATGAAATCAAGTGACTGCAAAGGAGAAGGACAGAGGGAGAAAGCAAGGGAGACTTGCTTACATCCTACTGCCCTCCATTTGTAGAAAATGACTGTCTGCAATGGAGAACCTCCTCCCATCCATGGAGGCTTTCCATGCTAATGAAGAAAATCAGGATCTTCGAACTGGTGGAGAACCTCTATAGAATCCTCCTCTACATGTGGAGGAGAAAGAGGCTACTAAGCTGACTGAACAGGATCAGAAGTCCTAAACATACTTGCCTGGGAGTATGAGTCACTGAATTCTATATGATTTACTATAAAATAAGCCTTTAGTATGTTTCCTTCTGCTTGGAGACTAGTATTAAGGCTTCTATTAACCCATTTTCTTGTTGTGAACAAAGGATAAAAATATTTCTTTTCTGTTTCTACACCAGCTCATTGAACTGAGCTAAACAGATCTGTCTCTTGCACAGCAGTAGTCTACACATAGTTATGAGAGTCCACAAGGGGTTCAAAACAGGCAAGATGGTGGTGGTTGCAGTTTAATTGGTCTTGCCCCTTTATACATGTGTCCAATATCGTTGCATGTGCAATGGGGTGGGGCTTCAATTATGCTGATGTGATTGCCATCTTGCCTGCTATCACTCCCCTTGCAGATGCCACTTTCTGGGATTAAAAGCCACCGAGCACAATGAGACTTACTATGCATTAATAGAGTGAACAGGCATAGGTTTATGCTTGTTAAGCCTAGATTCTTCTCTTTTTCTGTATAAATGTGTATGTGCATTTCTATGTGTGTGTGCGAGAGAGTAGTTCATATATAACAGATGGTTTACGTGAATGTATACAGATGCAGCCTCAATTAATTTTATAAATGGGTTGATTTACTTCATAAGCAATCTTGTGGAAGGGTAAGTCATTAATCCAAAATATTTATTTAATTTGCCCATTTAATTTGATCTGCCCATTTTGGGGAGTACAGTCACTGCCCATAGACACACACACACACACACACACACACACACAGATACAGGTAGGTCACATTGCACATACTTTTGAGGGAAAAAAATATTGAGGATTGATTTTGGTGATAACTTTCAACCCCATCTGAAAAGGTAGGGGAAGATTTTTGCTCATGTTTTTCTAACCTTCTTTCTGCCTTTCCTTTTCTATGGATCTAATTTTCAATTCAAGCTCTTCTTCCTTTCAAAGAAACATGGCTGTGTCTATAACATTGAATGCAGCTATAGTACATAGAGAAAGAGAAAGAAGGAGAGCCTGTACGAGAAGCTTCTTTTATCCTCTTCTAACCACAGACTCAATAAAAAATTAATCCTTCCCAAATGTGAAATACCTTGGATAAACCATTATTCAGAACTCCCCACTTTCAACTACCTTGTGATTCCCCTTGAACAAGATTTGTAAAATGACAAAGAATCTTAACATCAATAGGCCAGGCGTCTGCAGGGTGGGGCAAGCAGGGTCAAGCTGATCTCAGGAGCATTGTGATACAAACACCATCCTTTTCTCCATGGGTTGCAATATTACAATGCTGCTTACGACAAAGATGAAAGCAGCAAATTCCTGTGGATGCCACTGACCCGACTGAAGAGATTTTGGTAACATCTTTTTGGATTAAGTTTTAATCTATATATAAAACAGACTGAACAATTTATTGACAAGTTTCATTAGATCTTTTCAATGCCCAATTCTGTATGGAAAAATGGATTTTCCTATTATAAAAACACCTGGTCTTTTTTTCTTCCAATTTTCCAAGTTTGTCTCTGACTAATACAGTAAAAGCTATACGTTTTTCTTCCTTGGCCTTTCTTTCTCTGTCTTTTACAAGTGGCTTTCTATTTGCTAGATCCCTTTTCCTCTTAGGAATAGGATCTTGCTCAAGCTCAGGGAAAAGCAGATGGTAATTGCTTATCACTTCCACAGCTAATTTCTCTTTGCTCAGATGTCTATTTCTTTACTTCATCTCCCATTATAGACTCAGCTCCTGCATTTGATAAAACAAGGCATCCTCTTCTAATCTGTACCTTAACATCATCCATAGAAGCCTTAACTTTGGTGCCTCCCATGGTAGGTCTACCATATCTGGGATACAAACATCTGGACAATCACCAAGTGGCAGCAAAGTTAGATTTTTCTGTATTTCCTTCTTGCTATCTAGTGGTCCTCCAGAGGTCAGCAGTCCAGACATAGTATCCCAAATCTATACTGAATATTTTCATTTTTTAAAAAATGTGACTTTATGCACATGTTGTACGTTTCCCTGCAAAATTTGGTTTTGAAGGACGGCATACAATTTAAAGAAATAAAATAAATGTAAGACAAGAGGGAAGGGAATGCCACCCTACCCACTTATATATTTCTTCTTGGGATTAAGGAGATTGAAGGGTAAGAATTAACCTTTTTGCTCTCCTCCGTTATTATTCTAACACAGATATTAGAGCTACTGACCGAGCAGAAGGAGTTGGCTCTGTGATTTGTCGATGCATCCGAACATTGTGCATGCAGTTCTCCTTGGTCCCTGCCTTAGCATCCAATGGAATATCTGGAGAAGTGTGGCTAATCTTCATGGAAGAGTCAGGGTAGGAAGTAGGCTGCCCCAGGAATTCCTCACTATATTCTTGGTCATTGGTCTCTGTGTCTGTGTAGTTCAAGGATTCCTGCTTCTCTTTGTTTCCTGGCAGGCCACGCTCTCGCCATGGAACCCAACAAAGCTTCCAGGATACAAACAGAGATACCCCAAACAAAGCAAGTCCACATGCGGTGACCACTAAGGACAGCAAACTTACTGTGATATCTGAAAAGAAGACAAAGAAATACATGTCAATGTTCAAATAAGAGCTGCGGTTCTAAAGCCTAATGTTGACCAGGACTAAGCTTTCTTTGTGCATAGCAAGTCCAAGAAAAATATTGCTTCCAACCCTTTTTCCTTCTAAATGCTCCATTAAAGATTTTTTCCATCAAAGAATTCTACTGAAGTATGTTTAACTAATGCTATCTTGCCTCATAAGTATATGAAGGGCTCTAATGGATCAATTTAAAAGCCTACCAAGTTCAGCGTTCAGTGATTGCATTCAACTAGCATCTCTCTAGTTGCTAGAGAGAAAGCCAAGCAACAATCAAAGACTGGATTTTTACAATAAAAATAATTATATATTTATGTATTTGAATTTATTAGCCGCCCAACTCCAACAGATTCTGATGTCTAAGTTATTTAAATTTAAATTATGTAAAATCGCTGATGTGATCATTACCACCAGGACCAGAAAAAGGAGAATTAAGATGCTTAATAATTGATTGCAATAACAATGAAAAGAATATTGGCTTGCAACCATATAGAAGTCTTTATAAACCCTAACATCACCATGAAAAAAGAATATTGGCTTGCAACCATATAGAAGTCTTTATAAACCCTAACATCACCATGAAAAAAGAATATTGGCTTGCAACCATATAGAAGTCTTTATAAACCCTAACATCACCATGAAAAATTTCAAATGTTCACATGCCTTTGCATACAAATTATCAAACTGGGCACTATCTAATACCCTACTTTGTATTCCATCCAAATCAGGAAACTATTGCTAACAAAATTAGCATATTAAAGGATGGCTACAACTTCGTGTAATATCCTGCTCTGTTTTGCAACTAGTACTCATAGTTGCAAGGTTTTGATAAAATGGGACACTCTAATTAAGGAAAGACTTCCAGCTTTGTATATTCACTTGTAGAAAGAGAGACTGTATGTGTAAGAGGAAAGAACTGTTCATATCTTGGTATGTTCAACTGACAGGTGATTTTACTGTTTAGCTTATTTGCAGCTCAGAATATTGACTTAAGAAAAGGTGATTAATTATGAAACAAATGGATTTTTGTTTGGCTTTCTCTGTACATATGCAAGAACATTTGACAAGATCCCTTATTTGATGCCTAAATATAGAACTTTGCAGAAACAGGGACTGATAAGCTTGTTCTTTTAATCAGACCAGTGTTTGCCTTTCATGAGGTTATAAAACTTTGTCCACATGATACAAATTACGAAGTGCTGACACTGTTAACAGCAAAGAAATCTTTTGCATAGAAACATTGACGCCAGGAAGAATGCCAAGCATCAAATCTTCTTCTAATTAACTAGCTTTCTGTGTGCATAGGTATTTTTGTCAGTCATGTGAGCCATGATACACAGTCCTTAGGCAGTTCAATCCAGGTAAGAACTATCTCAGTAAAGACTCTCTCGAGTTGAACTCAATAGAATAGAAAGGAGTTTCTGAGATGCCCTGACAACATCACAGTCTAGGTTACAGCCTGGGCTTTCCTGGCATCTCCATGACTCCATGAACTTAATATATCTTAAAATCCTTGTTCACCCACCCCAATTGCTGTAGAAATGTAACACATACTGTAGAGTTAGGGCATGACTGCAGTACGAAAGCCAAGCAAATATAAACTGCAGGTTATTATTTTTTTTCACAAAAGTGTTTAAGTGTATTCAGCTGTCTTATCTGACGCCTTCTGAAACTTAATTGAAATTGTATGTAAGCAGATAAAGCCTGTTTCCTTTTTTACTAGATGTTTGGGCAAACATGGACGAGTACATGAAAGAAATGCCACGTACTTGACAATACAAAACAAATGCAACTGAGAGAGAAGAAAATGGCCTTGAAATATCGACTGATTATTATATAGGAAGCAGAAACTGCGATCAGTTACTGGTTTCTTTTTCATGGGTTACACCTTCAGATTTATTTGCACCCTTATCCACAAGGCCTTCAAAGAGACAACAAAACAATCCTCCAGACCTGGTTTTTCTGTGATGGAACTGCAAGGGGTAAATCCTTTCATTTCTTTAAAAACTTGGAGAATGGGAAAAGTCCAGCATTCTTAATTTTAGGCCACAATCATCCCCTTGTCCCAAAAGTGTTTTAACTTGAAAACGATCAAACAATAAACATCCTCCTCCTCTCCCTCTTTTTCCTTTTTAATTTTTTCTTTCGCTATTTTTAAAGCTTTCTCGACTTCCTAGGGTTTTTTTTAGTCATAGAGAGTGGATAAATGAGGTTATTTGTTTCCTTTTCACTAAATCCTAGTATTATCTTAACTTGTAACTATGCTGAGACATCAAGCTAACTATTGAGATTATAAAGAGTCTTCATCGTACAGCAGTCTGGAATTTTCGAGAATGTTCTTAAACATTATGTGGCTCTAAACAGAAATTAAACGTATTGGACACTGTGAAACACATCTAGGGAAGATGCAAGAATCATTGATATTTGCTACTTTTCTTATTTTTAAAGGGCCACATAACAAAAAATTAATATTCATAAAACTGGTAGGGGACATTACACCCTTCATGAGCCACCAGCATCATGTGCCCTCAAGAACAACTTGTGGAAGTCACATATAGCACAAAGCACTGAGATGACTAAGCATTCACTTTGAACATAGTGCAGGAGAGACGCAGACGGAATCCTCAGGGGAGGGGCCAGATGCTCCATCCATACATTGCCCCAGTATATGGATGATATCATTGACCAAGGGCAGTTCTTGCAGCTGAATCTGAAGTGAAGTGAGAAGGGGAAGGATACATTTTCTCAGTGACTGACAGAAAATGAAATGTAAAGTCCCAGCAACAGAACTGTGAAGAAGTAAAGGTGGATCATAATTAGTCTGCTAAAGTACAGGCCTTTATTTATTTAGAAATTGTCTATAATGAATATACTCTATACTTCAAGGAAGTTTCATATTTGTTGAGTTAATGTGCTTGGCAAAAACTAGCCTGTTTGTGCTTTCTACACATTCCTTATTTTGCTTGTATTTCTAGTATCCTTTATAGGTACGGGTCACCTACTTGTGCGTGTACACAATTTAAAGTGGCCAAACACAAACAAAATAACAGTTTGCAAATAATCCCTTTGAGTACGATCAGGCAAGCCCTATTCCTTTAACTGTTCACAAAGTCTCTTATTGCCCTGTGAATAACTTAGA